CATCAATCAATGCAGGCATATCACAGCAGCAATTTAACAGGCCTCATTTTCCAGGTGATCTCACTGTTCAAACTAGAAGTAAAATTCGCAGTTAAGGCACAATATGAAGAATGCATACTTTAACTTCTATGATAGCTGCCACTTTCAGGATGACGTGGTAAAGTTACATGTTTTCTTTCAATTTCATTTTAGAGAACTAAAAATACCTGATAACTTTAACTTAGAATAGAGGACAACTTATGTTTTGCTATGCTTCCTTAGGTGCAAGGACTTTCCCAGTGTAAACTTCATTACTTTAATCATTTAGAGATAAATTACTCTACACTACTGCAATGACAAAAGACATGATGTCTGCTAGTGAAGTGTAATTGATATCAGACAGATGACAGCCCTGAATGATCAGAATTGAAAGCAGGATGTTTCTTTAGAGATGTTTAGAGACAAGTCACCTCTTCAGTTCATAACTGGAAATGTCTGGAGTCAGGGTAGTGAAATGATGACAGGGCAGTGGTCAACAACGAAAATTTTGAGAACTGCAAAACTGATATGGGATGTCAGGTTTCATCAGGCCCTGTAGTATCCATGCGCTCTCAGTTTTAAATCCTCTATTATTTTTTACTCTTCCTTAATAATTTTCATGGCTGCAAATTTTTCTGACATTATTAAATTTCTCTGGCATTTCAGTAGGGTGAAAGAAATTTAAGCCTAATTTACAAAATCACATGGCTAAAATTGCTTTCCTGTTATTTACAGACATTTAGATAAGTCACTTGAAACTTCAGCAATCCCTGACCATAAGGGCTGAAAATCAGTGGAAGCTCTCCACCTTAAATTTTCAGGGCCACAGGATGAGAAATAAAAATGAAATGCATAAACTTCAGGTTTTAAACGACAGATTCTCAGATGTGAGGCCCCACAGAACTGACTGTCCTGCAAATCACACTGTTGAACAGACCTCTCTTGGACAGAGTTGAAGCTGTCCAAAACAGAGTCATGAAATAATGATGATGACTACCTGAGGTCACTGTGGACACTCTGTGCTACACACACATTAATCAGGAGCAGCATTTAGCCAAGAAGTGGGAATTAAATGAACCTGACACAAATAATAAGACCATTTGATTATCACTGTCACCTATAATGGATCATGTCAACTACAGAACAGCTGGAAAAATGTACTGTGCTCTTGCTCATGTACTAATAAGCAGCTCTGCATGGGTGGTGCTTTACTGACATTGAGTGCTTGTTCAAACCTTCACCCTTCGTGCTGCTGGTAAGGATGTCTGGCTGCTCTTTTTGTTAGCCACTATTATTTGTATACTATTCAAGAGCCCACAGCAATAGAACAGAACCCTGTCACAAATTAATGGGTCTCTACTAACTGGAAATGTCAATGCAAAAATGAATTTAAAGATGTTAATTTTTCAAGCAACATGAATTGCCTGACAGCACTTTATTACAGCAATGTTATTTACTCCTTCCTCCTCCCACGGTTTAAAAAGCTACTGCAATAAACATCAGCCGATTAGCTACATCCAGCATGGCCTTTTTGTTTTCAATTTACACATAAAAAATTTAATTTACAAAATGGCTGAGAGCAGCCTGGCCTAATGGAAAGCATCCCTGCCCATGGCAGAGGGATTGAAGCTAGATGATCTTTAAGGTCCCTTCCTCAGGGGAGTTATGAGTGCTACTTATGTCAGTCACTCCAGATAGATATATATTCCAGGTCTGCATAAACCCAGCTTGAAACATAAGCAGCATTTCTATCTCTAAACTCTACAAAAATCATAGCACGAAGTTTGGCCCATAGTAAAAATTAACAGCACTTTGGCAAAGCTAGCAAGCAATCAAAAGTATTACAAGCTACTTCACAAAAAACAGACCTGAAAAGCAGTTCAAAATGCCTGATGCTTTTAAAGCATTAGAAGCATGCATCATTATTAAAACCAAGCTATTTCTGATCATCCATAGCAAGGGTTCCCCAGATGTTTCATACGTCTATTTGTTTCACATTTACTGTCTTACAAACAGCCCTCAGCTCTTTAGTTGAATTTCTAAGATGTTTAATAGCAAACATTTACTAAAATCTGATTGCTTCTCCTATGAGAAGTCACACAGTGTGATCCTCAAATTGCAAAATGACCTCATGATTCAATAGGTAAGACAAAGAATATTCTTTTAATTTTAAACTTTTCATCAGACAGCAATGGATTTTTATCACAGCTAAGTCTTCTGAAGATATAGATGCTGCACTTCTCAGTTCACATTTCACCTTCGAGACAGAATTCTACAGGGAGAAGTCCAGATATTCAATGACCAGATTGTCTCAGACTTCTTTTCAAATACCACGAGCAGTGAAAGGGATTGTGGACAGTGATCTCACTCCCACCAGATGAAGACTACTTTCAAGGTCTGTAAACAAATTTATCTATTGTCCAAAATCAAAGAGCAATTCTCCCCATTAAAGTGATCAAAAGCCTCTAGGGTTTTACCACATCTGGTATTTCTCAGCAGTGAGAGACACTGACAGTTCCCAATCACAGCCTCAGGATTGTCTTCATAGTAGTAAACAGGAGCATCTGCACCTGGTCCTTTTATTAGTAGCTATTTGTATACATTCAAAACCCTTCAAAATCTGCTTGCCAGGAACATTTAACCACTTCAGAGAGACAAAGGAGACCAAATCCATACTCTGAAAAGATGCAGTAATAGAATCTTCTGTTTTCTTCTTCAGTACACATATTTTCTTATTTGTAAAGAGAATGAATTTTAACCTGGCAAAGCTTTCTGTAAAAAATGACAAGCCCTCCTCACACTACCATCAAGGGTGCTGAAGCTGCTGCAAAAGGAAAAAAGATTATATTTAAGTAATTATATTACATTAGAAAGTAGTTTTGATTTCTTGCAAAAAGGTTCTTGCAATTTTGAACAAGTCCCTGGGAACTTTGCATCATGTGTTAATAAAGATCAAACAAGACTGAGTGGAGAGGTACATAACATATAATATTTGAAGGGAGGGGAAAAGGATCAGTTGGGGAAGGCATTCAGAAGGGTTAACATTATCCCCTGCAGGTTAATGCTTCAATTGCTTTCTCTAGCCAGTGAAGAGATAAAGGCTTCTCACAGAGTCATTCAGAGCTGAAGATTTGTTTAGCTACACTGAATCTCTCTGGAGTACTTCAACTTGTTAACTTCAGAAGCAGCCTGCAGAGATTAGCCTCAAAAAGATCACACTTGCTTTTGTGAACACTCCCCAGTATTTATTTACCTTCCATCAGCAGCTGAAATTCACTACTGAGACGTACTGTTGGGTATTGAACTCTGAACACTGTGCATTGCCCATGGACTGACGTTCATCCAGCTGGAGCTTAGCACTCCTGCTGGAATAACTGGAACAGCATCCACAGCACTGCTAGGATGAATGCAGGATTGAATTTTTCCAAGTGCCCCGTTGAAGTGCTCTGTTTGAAGGCCACCTGGATGCTGCCATACAAAGGACTGCTGTGCCCCAGCACCTTCAGAATCCACTCATTGTGCTGCCGTGCTGGTAGAGCTCCTTTTCTCACTCCGACTGCTCCTCGCATCACTGGAGCAGTGGTGGGAGCTGGGCTTTTGTGATCAAGCTAAACACAAAGAATAAGAATTCTCAACTTTTGAGAGCTACTGTCAACAAGTTTTATGATTCTTACTTAGTAACAACATGAAAGGAAAATGGCCCTTTCATCTCAAACACATAATAAAGTTGGATTTTGTGTCAAGAACACAGGGGAAAAAAAACATACTTCCAACAGAACTTATTATCAGGGCCATTTTCCAACTTCTCCTGTTCTACAGTACTTCAACAGATTATTGTGCTTTCCTCCCTGAAAAATGTCCATGATGTCTTCAAATTTTATCAAAATAAAACTTCAATGAACTCATATAAACCAAAAGAACAGTTAGAGATACTTGAAAGTTTTGGTGAGACCTTTCACAATTTATGCTTCTGCCAAATTTTTTTTCACAGACTATCTTCATAGCATAAATCAGCCATCCTTTTATAAATGTAGAATACAGAAAAAAGACTCTTCAAATTAACCTCAGGAAAGGTGCAACAAACTGAATCATAAACACCAAAAAATCTTTTCTTTAATACTATTCAGGTTATAATCAGAGCTGAAAACAACACAACTGCCAGTTAGAGTTGATTTCCAAAGTACACCATAAAGTATGGACAGACAGCCCAGTACAAATCTGTGAGCACAGCATTTCCACCATCTTCTAACAACTCCAAAGCCCTAGAAACCTAAAGTTTCCTACACAACCATGTCAAACCAGACTTAACAAAATGAACTTGCAAAGGTCAAGTCAAATTGCAAAGTTTGGTAAAAATGTTTTAGCACTGAAATAGTCTCTTTACCAAACAGAAAAGCCACAGTCAGATTTTAGAGGCCATATTGAGACAAAGGTGTAATGAACAGAGTACTAAAAATACCAGTTATTTTTCCAAATGAACAAATTCTTAGCATATTACATAAACTACCTGCAATGCAGTATATCAAACACTTTATGTTCTGTTACAACCTAAGTAACAGTGTGAGAAATGTTAGCCACCACATGAAATGATTTTTACATAACTCTCAATTATGTAAACATCAGAGCATCCTAGTTTTAAAATGCAGTTAACCATGATTCCCTTTCAAAAACACTGCACCTTTAGACAGGAAAAAAAAAAAGATTCCTGTCTGTTATATTCCAATATGAGGTGCTTTCTCAAGCATTCAGGCAAGAGATTTGCAGCTAAAAATTACAAGCAATTAATTTTATTCACACTAATTATATTGTGGCATTAGACTAACAAAAAACAAGGCACTCTGCCCTTTGGGGCAGTGTTCTGTAGAATTCTGCATAATTACTATCTTTGGGCTCAAAATTAATCCCAAAGCATGCGGAAAAATTAACGGAAACAGTTTTTAATTATTCTCAAACTCTTAAGAATAGGAGAGAAACGTTTGCACTTTTTCATTTAATTGTTTATTAAAGAAAAGAAAAATACAGAATTTTACAGTTTATCTTAAATTTGGAAGCCGTTTATAGGCAAATATTGATTTCTGGGGAGTTTTTCTTTATTTCCTCAGCTGACACCCACTCAGAAGGGCATTCTGTACTTCTGCATTATCTGACACATTATCTGAACACCTCTCTAAAGCACAATGATTGCACAGGACAGTTGTATTTGTGAGAATACTCATTTAACCAAGCACTGTAATATCCATTGTTCTTTCTGTTCAACTCAGCAGAACAGAAAAAAAAAATGCAATATGGTAAAATTTTGCCAAATACATTAAATCACAGCATAGACAACCACTTTATGAAAAGCAGAGACTTCTCTACTTAAAATACATAACTGATAGTGTACACAAGGCAATTTCTAATCTGAACAAAAATATTTCAGTGAATTCTATGCTGTTCTCCATGTAACAGGCAGCAACAAAACCAAGACTTCTGGAAAGAACCAGCATTAGTTTACTGAAAAAGGAATGACATATTTGACCAGTCTACACATTCCCAATTACACTTCAATCCTTCCCAGCTGATGGCACTTCACATGAGTAGACTAGGTCTCACAAATTCTCTGAAACTGAGTTTAATTTAACTTCACAGCATGTCAAAATGAAGTCTTAAAGCACAAAAATCTCTGTATTCTCCTTGATCTCAAATACTTGCAGCAATTAAATCTTAGAATTACTTTGGAACATTTGGCAGCTGTTTATTTATTTGAGTAATAAACTCCTGAAATTTTCCCTCTACTTGAGATCAATAATTGAGCCAGGTGAAAGCTGTTCCCCTACACTTGGAAATAACTTTAGGAAAAAAAATACAGGAAAAACCCCAACTTTCAGCACACAGTAGGAATAATTTCTTTGTAGCAACATCATAACACAGTTTTCCCTTTCATGAAGTAGGCTCAACAATATGCAGTATTTTAAGTATCTATTGATGGTGGCTGTGTTTACTCTTGTGGTGTCAATAACATCTGTAGAGAAGTCTTTCTTACAGCAACATAACATACAGCCAGCCTGTCCTACTAGTCAGGGAAGAATCAGTGCATGAGTTACTGTGTTTTAAGAGGAAAATGAACCCTTATCTCCGTTTACAAAGAAAAAAATCAAATCCTGGGAAGTAATTTCTGCTTGCTTTAAAAAAGTCCAATTCATCAGTTGCATTTTTGAGTTCCAAAATAAATAGACCTCTGCTGCACAGCAATGTCACCTATTCCCCAGCTTTCAGGAGATGTTATGAGCTCCCAACACGATCTCTGGGAATGAGCCGTAGATCTGAACCATGCTTTAGAAACACATTTCCTAAACAAAGAAAGAAAACAGGATGTATTACTAACCAAGAAAATACAATGTTCCCTCACTAAACACATTTAAAGGATAACAGTGTTAAGTCAGTGTTTAATAGCTTCATAGTAATTCCTCTGATATACCAGAAACAAAGTTTTCATGCTTCCACAGAATTTTACCTTGCCTCTCTTTTTTCAAAGAGCTCTTTATTTTAAATGAAAATGCAAGGCCTTGCAAAGTGCAGCCTTTCAAACTCTGCAGTTTCACAATCGAATGCCTCATTTTACTTACAAGCCATAATAATTTCAAGAACAGAAAATGAAGATTTATTTTTCCACAATTATTTCGTTTTCTTGAGGTCATTCATGCCTTCATTCATTTTTAGTTCTCTCCTTGGTTCAGTACTTATTGACTTCTAACTACAGAATCTCAATTGTACTTTTCTTTTAGGAAGGTTCCCCAAATGTCCAAGCATATGTTAGTCTCATTTTAGCATAAAAATCCCTTTGAACTTCTTATTTATTACTGTATTATCTTAATTATCATAGTCTTTTCAAGAAGACATAATAAAAATTAGAAGTTTCTAATATTTACATGTGTTGATTTTTTTGATGTAGTCAGGTTGCTATTTATTAAATGTAACATTTGCAAATGAAACCACATCACTAAGTGATGTATTTACTTAACAATATATGGAATATTTACTTTTTTACTTCATACTACTACTGCACAGAATCAACTATAAGGCCTTGCAAAGTGCAGCCTTTCAAACTCTGCAGTTTCACAATCGAATGCCTCATTTTACTTACAAGCCATAATAATTTCAAGAACAGAAAATGAAGATTTATTTTTCCACAATTATTTCGTTTTCTTGAGGTCATTCATGCCTTCATTCATTTTTAGTTCTCTCCTTGGTTCAGTACTTATTGACTTCTAACTACAGAATCTCAATTGTACTTTTCTTTTAGGAAGGTTCCCCAAATGTCCAAGCATATGTTAGTCTCATTTTAGCATAAAAATCCCTTTGAACTTCTTATTTATTACTGTATTATCTTAATTATCATAGTCTTTTCAAGAAGACATAATAAAAATTAGAAGTTTCTAATATTTACATGTGTTGATTTTTTTGATGTAGTCAGGTTGCTATTTATTAAATGTAACATTTGCAAATGAAACCACATCACTAAGTGATGTATTTACTTAACAATATATGGAATATTTTATGGAATAATACTACTACTGCACAGAATCAACTACATTTGATTCCTTATTCAACCTTGAATTAACTTCTAAACCAGAGTAATTCTACTTCTCTCCCAAGCATCCCATTCCAGGGATGCAGACTGCTCTCACAAATAAGATTAAGGTACTTGACATCCATTTAAATTGTCTGTGTATTAGAACAAAGCTACCCTTTTTTGATTTCCAGCAAGTGGATCAGGATCAAAATCATTGTATATATTAGACCCTTAGAAAACCAATTCAAAATAACATGTTATCAGAAGACATTCTGATCTTACAGATCTGCCAACACCTGGTACTGAAGGGATCTACAAAACCCACTGAATGCAAACCTGTCTTCCCAGCAAAACAGAGAACTGCCTACTAACCTTACTATTCTAGATTGGAAACATCCTTTTCTAATGGCCATCATAAAATTCTGAACATTCTAAAACAAGCCTCAACTGCATCTAATGGAGACAGTAGCTCACCTCACCTTGGTCTGTTTTCATCATTAATATTACACTGATTTTATTAAAGTTATAGCATACTACTCCCTGAACTATCAAGGATTTAAAATTGAAATCAATACAGGGATTAAGTGCTAAGCCTAGCTCTTTCAGCTTTCACTTCCCCTGCTCCATGAAATCATGTAAGGAAAATGAAAGTCATACTTGGGGGCTTTTTTTTCAGAAAGGAAGTGAAATTGTGCAACACTACAAAACCTCTGAAATCCCCAGGGATTACTAAAATTTTATTTCTGTGTATCTTATTTTGGAAGTTTTTGAAGACTAGAATAACTGTAAAATATGTAGAAACTCTGATCTATGAAAAAAAAAATAGAAAGAAGAGAAAAAAGTAGATTTTAAGGTACCAATTAATGAGGCTGAACAGAAGATTAAACCTAAATTATATATGTTTACTTGTAAACTGAGGAGTGATTTTGGTCTGAGAGCTAGGTTTGGTGTAGGCTGTATTTTGCTTGTTTTGTTTGGGTTGATTTTGGAAGTTTGTTTTATTGTGGACTGGTTCATTTTGTTCCAGTTAAGGGCAACATCACACAGGATTGCCAGAACACCTATGCTTAAAAAAACATAATCCATGTGCCTAATTTTACATCTGCAGAATAAGAAAGTGATGACAACATTTTGTATCTAGCTGCTTTTAATTTACCTGTTTCTTGATCATGTGATGCTGTCTTATACTACTGAATAATTCCTCAATATTTATAAGAGCTTAGGAGAGGTAAAGCAAATCAACTGGAGAGGGGAATTCAATATGCAGAGCTGCAAGTACAATGAACTGATTTACGGATGCCTTCATTCAGCAGTCAAGCAGTTCTAAATACACTTACTTTTAAAGGATTAAGCTAATTTAAGCTACATAATACAAAATGAAAGCATGCTGCGGAGGAAGAGAAACAGCCTAAGTGTACCTTAAGCAATTTTACCATTTTGCCTAAGTATTCATCAGTGGTCATGTGAAATTGTGGCTTTACATGTGGGTGATGATCTAGTAACTAAAGTAAATTATTAGATTTATCATCTGTTTTCATACACTTGGTCATGGGATCATGAGGACAGCATCAGCTGAGAAGTCTGCCTGAGGCAGTACACCTGTGAAGTCATAATCCAGGTGTACTAAGGCAGGATAGAAGTCTCTGATGGAGCAGAAAGCCACACACTTAATTGATCTTCATTTTCAAATGTTGTTGATACAATCACAGACCTCAGAAACAGTCTCTACACTTAAATGGTTTCCTTTACAACTCCAAAAAATTCCCCAAACTAATGTCAAGCAACTGCTCTTCTCACCATCAGATACTGTTCTGTGCTCTGCGAGGATTTACTTTATACTTCCTAGTTTACACAGCAAGGTGTGCTGATAACACCTTGTTTTATTTTTCTTGTGGTACCTTCAGTAATGACTGGCAGTCAAAGGGCACAAATGAGACAGATAGATAGAGGCATGGATTTCATGCAAAAACCAAAACAGCAGCAAGTCTCTATCAACCATTCATCATGTTTGCAAGCAAGAGTTAAGCAAATTTATTCTGTTTTCACTGGATGACTGGATTCCATAAGCAGCAAAGCCATTTTTACTAGTACTTAGCAGGTAAGAAATACTCCTAACTTTCTACCAAAATACTCTGTTCTACTCTCTTCTCAAATGGTTTAAGATTAGAGTACTGTAATTATTTCCCAATTAGTTTAAAAGTTTAATAGCTTTTCAAGAACAAGTCCACACAATCTGCCTCCGGACAGCAGACCATTATCGGTACAATTCAACCTCTGTACTCTGTTTCCATGTATTTCAGGAGGTGATGGGAAAGGGCCTTACACTTTCCTGTGACAGAGATAAATCTTCTCTCATAGCCAGCCTTGACATCGGATTTCAGGGATTTCTGACATGGAACCCCCTCGTGAGAACAAGAGAGCTATCAGCAAGAATCAAAAAATGGTTTGATTTGAAAGAGACCTTTATGAGCACCTAGTTCCAATCCAACTCTTCTGAAAACACACTCCCCAAAGCCCCTGGAGCTCCTGCTCTAAAACTCTTACTTTTTTTACAGTATCTCATGATAAGTGCTGCTAGAACAGCAAGGACTACTGAATTAGACCGAGCAGGGGAGGAAATATAGCTGTTACTTATTACTGCAGTAGCACGTAATACTGTATGGCTTTCAGACTGCACCTTAAATGCAAAGCTCTGAAGATCAGAAGCTCACCACTTTTTCACAGAACTAAATAAACGCTGAACAAAAAAAACCTCACTGTTTTTTGGATTTAACCTTTTATACACTACAATGACTGCAGTTTTCAACTACTGGGTAATGCTCCTCCCATTTAAGAGGACAAAACCAAAAATGTAATAAAACCTCCCGCGCTATACATTAGACAGAGAGAAAAATAACAAGTTTTAAATACTGGGATTCGTACACAGTAACTTACCTGCTGTCTGTGCAGGGTTTATTCCTATACCATCTAGGAAGAAGGAAAAAAAGAGAATAAAGAAGATGAAGCAGACATATTACAATTTATTACATTATATTTGCAGCTCAAAAAACATACCGGCAAGATACAACTATTACATCAGGTCATCATGCAGCTATTTCCCATAGCTAAAAAACATGGGAACTGACAAGAAAGCTCCAGCATAGAGAAGTCCAAGCTACATATTTGGACAAAACTGAATTAGTGGTTTAGTATCTTCACCCCATGCATAACAAATTTAAATAATGCTGCAATATTATTAAATTCAATTTGCAGTAAGTAGAGCTTGTGAAACATGAGAAAGTATTAATTTTATCAATAAACTTTCACTGAAACCTCAATACAAAAACTATTAAAAATACACAAACTATATTCTTACCATTTGTTATAATGGCACTTGTTGCTGCAGGAACTTTGAACTAAGGGAAATAAGAGTAGGACAAAACAGCATAAGAGACATAGTTAAAGCAGAAAATATATGGCTAATATTAAAACTGTGATTTTAGCTGGTTCACATACCAAAAAAATGAGAAAATAGGTCCCTAACATTTATAGATATAAGTAACTTTAATGGAAATGGATGATTATTTTAGTAGTAATTCCACCAATGTAATGGAAATTTTTTTCTAAGTATCATGCAAATGTACACCTGAAACATGTACCAGGTAGCTCTAAAACATGGAGGAAAAAACCCAACAGATACCACACACTATGAATGAGATTTTTTTCTAACTAGCGCAAGTCTGGTTATGAGTTGGCAAATTTTAAGTTTTTGAGATGTCTCAGTAGAAACTTGCTAAGGCCAAATAGCCAGAACTTAAACACTTCTCTGCCCTGAGAGTTTTAATCACAGAGAGGATAATGCACTTCCCCTGAAGATCAACTAACAACTTGGCCCAAATTTTGATCTTTTCCATACATGTATAACTTAAGGTACTGTGAAACTGGTTCTTGAATCACAACCCACTATAGTTAATGTTAAGCTATCCAGTTCAAGGAATGCAAAAACATTCATGTAACACAAAAGTTATCTGTCGTTCTTTTCAATGCCAGTTCACAAGGAGCTTCACTCCTGGGGAAGAGTTTATCAATCTTTTTTGCTCTTTGCTAACAAAGCACTTCATTCTGCCTAGTCTCAAAGAAATGCAAAAAGCTTCAGCCTGATCCAGAACAGCCTGAGGTCAAACTCCCATAGATACTCAAAATACTCACACCACTTAAAAGAATGGCTTCCTAAATGTGAATATTTAAATCAGTAATGATTCTCTAAATCCACTACTCATATGACCCTATCACTAACTAACATTGTGATTCCATGAGTAGGCAAAGTTAACAGGTTAAATGGCAACGCCCACCAGAAATGGCTCCTCCCTTTCAACATCTCCAACTACTCAGTCACACTTATTTCTGGTACCTTAATACTTGCTTGTTAAACTTTCAATCTAGGTCTCTATGTATGGGTAGTGTTGGCACAGCTGTATTAATACAGAATAAAACTAACTGGGGAAAACATAGTAAAAACCCCCAATTAAATCATCAAATATCTTTAACAGCAAGCAATATTCTGTATAATGTTCTCTCCAAGTAAATTTACAACAAAACTAGTCCACAACCTCCACCCACAAGCTGTGTTTCCTCTAATAATTTCTGTCACATAATGGTCTAACAGTAACAACATAAGGAGACTCAAGATGTGGAGTCTATTATCCCTCCTAACTGTTTCATTACAATTGCAATGCTCAAACAAAAGAAATTTTCAATAACCCAAAACTTCCCATGTTTTCCTAAAAAACAGACAGAGAGAGAATTGCAAGAACAGACTCTCAGCTGATTTTTTGCCAGTTAGATGAAGAGACTCATCGTGTTTCTGAGCACTTGATTTTACTGTTTTCATCCAGTGAATGCCTCTTAATTTTTGCATGCTTCATCTGAAACAACATGATACATCTCTTCAAACACATGATGTGAGCAATTTAAACACCTAATGGTATAGGATTCCATGTGAAAGATCAACACACAGAAACTAAAGAACACGCTATCCACGTCTTCCCTTAACACAGTGTTTTGTATCTATGCCATATGGCTCATCTCAATACCTTCCACAATCAAAAACTCTGTGTCTTCCAAAGTCAGAGATTACTAGAAGAGAATGTGAACAGTTCAAGAGTTTCCTGATAATTCTAAAGAACTTTCCTGATACTCCACATAAGAAATTTCAGTATTAAGTATCCAATTGCAGTACCTTTTAGTTCTCTTCGCTGTCACAAAATTTTATATCACTGCTATAAAATAGTTAATTACAAAAAACAGTCACCTCAATGCCATCTGCTGATGCATAAATTGAGCAAGGACCACTAAGTTCAGGATTCTGAAAGTTCTGCCAGGCCCCCACTGAGACCTGTAAAGCTTGCGACCATCTGTAACCAACAGCAGCTCCCTGTGCTGAATTAACCACTGCATTTTTATCATTAACAAAGCTATAGCTTTAAAGAACATGCAAAATGTTAAAAACCAACATCAACACTCTCTACTTACTTCTTCTGCAGCAAACTTGAGGACAGCTGTGAAAGGTGTGCTCTCAGGCACGCTTAACCTGAAATCACAACAAGTAAATACGTGGCTGCCAAAACAAACCCAAAGCTTTATCTGCTGTTAAACTACTGACTGAAACTTCACTTTTACCAGTGGAAATACTTTTGCCAAAGCTGTGCAAGCACTATTCAAGGGGAGAACAGGTCCCCGGGGGGTGTGAGACGCTTCAAGAGAAGCCTTTTTGGCAAAGAACAGGGACACCTTTAAGTGTCAGCAGATGTGACAAATCTCAGGAGGTGTGGGATTAAGCTCCATAGCAATGTCCTCTCCAGGAGGAGAGAACTCGGCCTCAAGCTGTGGCAGGGATGGTTCACGTGGAACATCAGGAGAAATTTTTCACTGAAAGGGAAGGGGCTGCCCAGGGTGGAGTTACAGACCCTGGAGATGTTCACGGGAGGCCCAAGGCGGCCCGTAGTGCCATGGTCTGGCTGACAAGGCAGTGATCGGGCAAAGGCTGGACTCAGCGATCTCAGAGGTCTTTTCCAACCTGGATGACTCTGCGACTCTGTGGAATGGCAGTGGGGGAAAGCGGGAAAACCCCGAGAGCAGGGCCAGCCACGGACATCGCCTGTCATTCCAGACGCAGGGAGACAAACGCCGTTCCCGCTGGCGGAGCGCCCCGCCGGGATGGCCATTGGAGCCCATCCGCGATGTGCCCCGTTTTCACTCCCCGCCGCCCCACGCAGCGCCGGCACTCACACTTTGTAAGGCAGCCGGGGGTCCGAGGTGAGCGTCACTTTAAAGGTGACCTTGGACCTGTGAAGAGAGCAGAGGGTGAGGGCTGGCTGAGGGAGCGCGGGGGCTAACGGACCCCCGGGCGGAGCCTCCCTCCCTCACTCACATGGTGCCGCCGGGGCCGCCGCCGCTCCCACCGACACGTCAGCGCCGCCCGCAGCACGGGGGCCTTCGCCGGCTCCGAGCTGCCCGAGGCGCGCCTGGCCACAAAGGGAAAATATCATGCCCCGCCGACCCGCTATGAGGCACGGAGCGGCCGCGTTCTTCCTCAGTGCCTCACTGCAGCTGGGAGAGAGAGAGGCTGAGGGGTGGCGAGCGCAGCGGAGAACAGTGGGGAGGATTTTTAATGAGGCAGTGGCACTGGCTGTTCCACTGCCGAGGTAGGACCCCGGCACCGGGACCCGGCGCTTCCTCAGGAGCTGGAGGGAAGCGCAGGCGGGACATGGAGGGAGCGGGGCCGGGATCGGGCTGGGCCTGCGGAATCGGCGGGCTGTGGTCACACAGGGAGTATGTAGGAGTGGGGGTTTGGTAACCGGAAGCCACATCTGGTGTGCTGTGTCCAGTTGTGGGCTCCTCAGTACAAGAGGCTCCTGGAGAGGGTCCAGCGCAAGCGCACCAGGATGGTGACGGGTCTGGAGCATCTTACGAGAGGGAGAGAGGAGAGCCGCGCCTGCTCAGTCTGGAGAAATGACTGGGAGGGGATCTCATTAATGCATATGAGTACCCCAAAAACAAGTGCCAAGAAAATGGTGCCAGACTTTTCAGTGGTGCCCAGCGATGGGGTGAAGAGCTGAAACACAGGAAGTTCCACCTCGACGTGAGGAACAACATTACATTGAGCGTGACAGACCACCGGAACAGGCTGCTTACGGAGATCGTGTAGTCTCCCATTCTGGAGACATTCAAAACCCACCTGCACACACTCCTGTGCAATCTGTTCTAGGGGAACCTGCCTTGGCAAGGGTTTGGAGTAGATGATCTCAAGAGGTCCTTTCCAACCCTGATAATTTTGTCATCCTGTTTTGCTCTCAAACCAAAATGGTCTGCAGATGCTTGTTAAAGTTATGCAGGCAAAAGTGGATGCAAACACTGATTCCTATCCCCTTAATATTTAAAACTGTTCACTTCTTCCTTGTGATGAGGGAGCTAGAACGGGCGTTTTGTTTGATAGTGATGGATACTTTTATGGCAGAAGAACAGTGGGTTCCAGTTTTGTTTGTTTGTGACTTTGGACAAATCAATTTCTCTTTAATAAGGTGCCATGGAACTACAAACCACCTTTGTCTTTAGTAGTCATGTATCTGCTAATGCAGATGATGACTGAATTTTCAACTCTGATATATCAGTATTTTCCTTACAGAAGACATTTTGTCAGATTTCCCCAGTTTCTGCTGTCTGTAGGAAGGACAGCATTCACTGCAGATGAAGTGCTTGGTGTCACACACTGCTTGCCAAACTGGTCATGGCAAAGCATTTTATTGTGTTCACTGGGGTCTCATTAGGGTTAAGGTAGATGCTGTACAAAAGGCTTGGAGTGGTTATTTTATTTTTCTTAAGGACTGGCTTGTTGCCCAGGTATGAAATCCAGCTTTTCATTCTTGTGCTGTTCTTATATGAACATAGACCAAACTGAAAAAAAAATAATTTAAACCCCTAAGAATTTCACTATCAGCTTGTCCAATGGCAGTCACATTTTCCAGTATCTCCTGCATTTTTGTTACTGTGTCTTTTTTCATGGCTGTATTGAATTTGGGAGGTGTACACATCTTGTAATCCACTAATGATCTCATGGCTTTTTCATCCCCCTGCTTTTAAGAGCTCACACTTGAAATTGGATCTAATTAATAATCATCTCTTAGTATTTAACCTTGCATTTAGTGCATTTAGCTAAATGCCATCCTATATTTATCTTTGCCCTTTTCAAAATCAGCTGTTTTTTTATGTATGTTTTGGCTTTGGCTTATGTAGCTCTCTTAACTGCAGCTTTCATTAATGCATTGCTGTCTCCTGTTTTCCAAGGTGTTGAATGCAGATGTGAAATAAAAGACTGATCTTTTCAGCGCTTCATTTCTGGCCTCTCACTATAAGTACTTCCTCTCTGAGGAAATAAGCAGATCCAAATCTCCGTGTTGTTGGAACTGGACTGTGTTTAGTAACCATATTTACTTGGTTAAATCCAGTTTGAGCGTATGTGTGCTAGTGCTGAGAACAGTCTAAATCCAGGCCTGGCTAGTCCTGTGTTCTGACCATGTGGTCTTGTCCTCTGTCAAGCAAAGGAACCAACACTTGTGACCAGGTAAAGGATCTGTTCATAGAACTGGTTTGGCAAAACCCCCCAAAATTTCCTTTCAGGTGATTTAATGTGGTTATCTTCAGAAACCACCAACAGAGAAGGACATGAGGAAGCAGAGCTGGTTGGCAGTGATACAGAACTGCACCTTAGGTCAGCTTGAGATGCTGTGGAGCTGTGTTCTGAGCAGGCATCAGGAGTTTCATGGTAATGCCAGGGGGTGGTGGGCTGACCCTGGCTGGATGCCAGCTGCCCAGGGAAGCTGCTCCTGTTACTCTTCTTCTCAGCTGGCAGGGGAGTGTAATGCCAGGGGGTGGTGGGCTGACCCTGGCTGGATGCCAGCTGCCCAGGGAAGCTGCTCTGTTACTCTTCTCAGCTGGCAGGGGAGCGAAAACACGAAGAAAGGCTCAGTGGTTGGGATAAGGACAGGGAGAGTTCAGTCACCAATTACTGCCATGGGCAAAACAGACTTGACTTGGGGAAATTATTCATCAAACTAGAGTATGGTAATGAGAAGTAAAATGAAATCTTAAAAATATCCCCCCCACCCCCTCCCTTCTGGACTGAACTTTGCCTCAGAGTTTTCTACCTCTTCCCTCCTGTATGGTTCCTTTCACAAATTGCTCCAGTGTGGGTCCTTCCCAGGGATCACAAGCCCTCAGCAAACCTACTGTGGCACCTGGAGCACCTCCCACTCCACTGACCTTGGTGCTTGCAGAGTGCTTTCTTTCACATATTCTCAATCCTTTCTCTGCTGTTCTGTGGTTTTGGGTTTTTTTTCTCCTTCTTAGGTCTGTTGTCCTAGAGATGCCGATGGGCTGATGCTGATGGGCTCAGCTTTGGCCAGCAGCAGGTTCATCCTGGAGCCATCTGGCATTGGCTCTGTTGGACATGGGGAAGCTTTTGGCAGGGTCTCACAGACATCCCTGTAGCCCCTGCCTCTAACAAAACCTTACCATGCAAACCCAACACACAGGGTCAGGATCTTCTGACGCAGAGTCAGGCATCCAAGTGATTTCATGAAAGGAAGACCTTTTCAGTTCTGCAAATTCAGAATTTTCCTATGCTGTCTCAACCTATTCAAAAAGCTGGCAGGGTTGATTTTTTTTTTTTTCCTTTATGAGAATTTACAGTAAATAGAGGAAGGAGAATGTGCATGATTTTTCTCTTTTAATTGGGAGAGTTAATGTGACTTGTCCTGTCTGTAAACAAGCAAGGGATGGTTTAGAGGATTGTATTTCACTAATGGGTTTATATACAACATTATCTTCAACTCCAGAAAAACTGGTTCATTTAAAACAAAAGTCTGCCCTTTTTTCCCTGTGAGTGAAGCCAGAGAAAAAAAAGTATTTCCTCATAAAATTTGTTTTTTCTACAGCTCGTAATTACCCAGACTCAAATATGTTGTGTTACAGCAATGAGACCTAACTTTGACTTTTCTAGCTGTGTAAATGACAAAAGGAATGACAATTTCAGCAATTAATTAGAACAGTAGGGATCTGGCAATATGTAAACACAGTTGTTCAACTGAAAGTTTTTAGTTTAAGAAAATGAAAAAAAAATTACAAACCAGAAAATAACCATATAGCCCCCTGGATGCTGTGGATGTTACTGAGACGAGCTAGAAAACCTTTGACAACTCTTTGGGCAAGACCTTCTATTTGTTAATAGCATTGCAAGAGAAAATAACTGCAGTAAATAGAAGCTGTTCATCCCATGTGCCTATATTCCACCTGGCTGGGCCTAGTGTAATTGAGTTGAGAAAAATAAGCAGAACAATAGCCACAGCGCAGAGTAGAAAGTACCGGAGAACTGTGTTTATTGGTACTTAGCCTGCTTTTATTCTTTCCAGTTTGTTTCCTATCCTCCTTGCTGTAGTCTCTGTTAGCTACAATATATTGCTGAGCATTCAAGTAGAGCTGCCCCATGATACAGAACTGGGAATCAATTTCCTGCTCCTTCAACAACAAGTCAACATGACCAGTTTGGAGTCCGGCCATAAAATTAAGCATGAGTATTTGTATTTTTGAAAGATTTCTCCTTTGTTTCGGATGCACATGCTGTGACTTAAAGCTTCTAACCTTCGTTGCATTTCTACGTTCATGAGTGCGTGTGCCATTGGAAGAATGCCAGTTTTTGTGCCCATGGAAGGAAGAGGAGGAAGAGCTTATTACATAAGCATCTATGCTACGTACTCTATGGAAGTATTAAATATGGAATTTTAAGAAATGCAGGAAAACATCTTCCACCTGCAAAATTTGCTTTTAGCTTGTCAGTTTTGGACTGAATAATGAATGTTTGACTTCCAGAAATCTTTGGTGAAAAAGTACCAAATTTAGCCTTTTAGCAGGTACCATAAAGTTAGGTCTTGGCACCAGCGTACTTTTCTTCTGTGCTTGCAGTGAATTAAATAAAGAGCATTGCCAAGCAATGTGTTACAGGAGGGAGAGGCAGAAGAAAAACAGCGTTTCTTCAGCCAACCACGTCCCTACAAAGCACATGGAACAGACTGATCCCTTCAGCTCTTAGTGAGGCTGGGATTTCACCGGGGGATTGAGTATTGCTAACTCCCTTGAAAAAGGACAGGTTCTGTTTTTTACCCCCTCTTCTGCATTACAATCTGTTCCTGGTGTTCTGGCTGCTTCTTGACCTGTCTTTGTACTTGGGGGACCCAGCAGTGAGTTAGTTCAAATCAGCAGAAGACATGGATGTTTCCCTGCTGACTCAAAGCATTGAATGACCTCAGGGAAAGGTCTGAGCTGACACAGCAGCAGAGGCAAGAAGATTTCCCCCTTCTGTCAGCAGGGAATCACAGAATCATAGAATTCTTTAGGTTGGAAAAAATCTGTAAGATCATTGAGTCAAGTGTTAACATGTTTGGACTTG